TGAAAGTTGTGCTTCTTCTCTTTAAGTTGTCTGCCCACAAGGGAGGAAAAAGCCCTACTTTCCTCCATTTCTAATGATCAGCTAAGTCTTCATTAGGTAATCATCTCTACATTTGTGTATATACTTATATACTGTATCTATCTAATTATGTTTGTGTGTCTATCCATATTTGTTTGTTTGTTTGTTAATTGATTATTTTATTTTTTTAGATAGATAAAGAAGTAAATAGATGAAAAGAAAAAAATACGCACACACACGCACACACACACACACACACACACACACACACACACACACACACACACACACACACACACACACACACACACACACACACACACACACACACACACACACACACACACACACACACACACATATTTTTGTATGATACACATATTTATAAATCTGTACTATTATACATACATTTCCCTAAGTGTGGCAAGGAGGCTGCTTGTCATTCCTTGTACTGGTCTTTGAGGTTTTGGCCCTTTTTATAGAACTTGGAAGTTATCTTATGTCTAGGAGGCATTTTGTAAAATTCTAGTATGCATTTGCTTTACAGTCTAACACGTACTTTACATCTTGAATACATTCCTATTGAGTAACCTCTAGGTTTTTCCACTTCGTCAGTATATTACCATAAATGCATTTTTTATAAGTATGAGTGTAGGCGTGTGTTCATGTGTGTATCCACATCAATGTGCATGTGCTTGCTAAAAAGATGGTACAGAGGCTTGTCAGGTTGTGGTTCCAGCACTAGACAACTTTTGGTGAGGCTTGTCAACTGTATGGAGCTGTGAGTCTCGTTACCTGTTTGGGGCTGTTAACCTGAAGGTGATTTTGCCAGTCTTTGGATTGACCTAGAGGCTTCATTGTCTTTTTATTCTGCAGTAGTAGTTGCTCAACTTCCTTTAATGCACAGAGGTATGCACTGACCATTGTTCTCTTTTGGCTTCCTTGATCTGTTGCAATGCATATAGACCCTCAGAAAACTTTGAGTATTATTGAAAGGGTTAAGGACAGATTCTTTGGTATAGGAATCAAAAGTCAATAAAAACAAATCATATCTCTGCCAAATATTAAAGTTTAGCCTGAAATAGCATCTTTTCCAGAGTTTTAGTTGAGGTTGCAATATTCATTCCACTAGGAAATCACAATATTGTTTAATCTCTAAATTGGATTGAAATCATTTAACTTCCAAAAAAAGGTTCTGTTGTGCTGTTTAGATTACGATAAGTTTCTCCTTATGTAGTTTATAGCATGGAAGTGTTCCCTTAGTGAGTGGAGTGAGAAATAAGAAAGTGTTTGTTTTGCAGTAAGTGATTGTGAGGAGACGCTGCTGAGTGAGAACGAGGATAGCAATGACTCATGGACTACACAAGATGAGATACCTGCAGAAGTAATCATCAAACTTGCCAGCAAGTATGTTATTGAAAGTAGATTTTTATTCTACCCCCTCTTCTTCTTTTTCAGATGAGGATATTAGTGTTGATCAGACTCAGACGCTGATAGTATCATTATCAGTAAAGTTAACACTTCACTGACAGTGCCAGAATTCGCTGCATGGCACTCATTCTGCTGAGTACTATCAGGGCATTCGCTATGTACAGCTGGCCCTGCCCTCTCACTTTAAGAAGTTTCAGTTTGCACGGGTGGGCAGTTTGCAGAAAATTATTACAACTTTATAGTACATTGTGCTCATAATTGGAGCCTTATTTGATCCATATATTAAGTTCTGTGTAGGGCATTGCTGTCTTATATTGTAGTATAAACTCCATATTACTACTTGTGTATGGCAGCTTACTGTGTGAAGGAAGATTTTTTAGTGTGAAGGAAGAGTTGTGTTTTCAGAGGAGACAAAAAAATACAGATTTTTTTCTTTTTCTTTTTCTTTTTAATTGACAAAAATGTTTCCAAATATATACATATTTATAGGCAAACATCAGGTTTATGGTGTCAGGGAGCATCTAGGTTGTTGTGGAACTTCCTGAAGCAAGGGGAAGGGCACAGGGAGACTCTGTTGATCCTACAAAGGATTTGGGTCTCCTTCCTCTTCCCCTTCATCCTCCAGCTGAAAACACATCACCAATTGTTGAATGGAGTGTCTTTTAGCATGTGGTCCTGGTTTGTGGCATCAGAAGGAGCAGCAGGAGCATCAAGAACAGGGGTGAGATAGTTCCTCATTCCTTGGTGCTCTTCCTCCTGCAGTAATCCTCACACAAACTCACACAAAATTTGAAATCCATTTAACTGCCAAGGACTTTATGTACAGCCAGGGAGTTGACCATAGCCATGGCCAGGAGATTGAAATATATTTGTAGGACTGGACAAACTGATCACTGAGGTCAACTCCTTTCATGTACTCCAGTACAACCTTTGGCTTTGATCTTCATAGTCCCTGGCAGTTAGGAGGAAGTGCTACCATCTTGCTGGTGTGGACCGTGGAGAGCATGGTGATGAGCCTCTTGTCCATCCATTCCTGTGCTAGTGCAATGGAACTTTGTTTCCTCGCCCTTTTGCCTGCAGGTCTGTTGGCATGTGCTTCTGGTTTGTTCATACTGTGTTTACAGCACTTGTTTTTCTGTTCTGCAGGTAGACTTGGGGATGGGTATTAGTTGTCCGTGTTTACTTCGTACCCTTTGTCAGTGAGACCCCCTTTCTCCAAGAGGTTTACCACTGCCTTCATGCTCACTAGGGAAGGTGGTGGTGTGGCTGGCCTTACCCGAACAGAGATTGTACAACTTCTAGCCCTTGCATGATCTCTTGTTCAGCACATACTGGAGTGCCTGGTGATGCCCCCTAAGTGCCCAGAGGCTCTCCTCCACTGAAATTGTCTTGTTGGGGACAAAGATCGTGGAAAAAAATTCTGGTCCAGGACATCAAAGATCGCAGACGACATCAGGGGGTTGCAAGACAATAAGTCCTGCAAGTTACACTTGGACTGCAATACCTCCAGGAATTGCAGTCCAAGGAACGCACAAAGCTCCCACACCATGGTATGCTTCCATCCCTTCATGTGGCTGGAAAGATATTTGCAGGAAAAAGAGAATTGGCCAAATAAAAAATGTGTTTGCAAGAGGCAGAGCATGAGGAAATGTAAATATTTTCAAACTAGTAAATGAGTAACATAATTTGATGCGCTTACTGGTTCATCTCCAGAATGATTTTTTCTAGAAGTTCCTCTGTCAGGAACTTACGGAAGACCTCTTCTGGTCTTGAAGCAGCATCCAGGTCAGGAACCGTAATCCCAGGAGCTATATTAAAGTACCTCAAAGGAGGAGGTACCAGGGGCATTGCATTCTCAGTGGTGAGATTCTCTTCACAATCAATTGAGGTGTCATTTAGTGGCTCAAATTTATCCTCTGATCCGGAGTTGGACAGCTCAGGCTCATCCTCAGGGTTGCTGTCCTCCCGGTCAAAATCGTCACCATGGGGGATGTGAGGATCTGTGAAAGAATACAAAAAAAAAGTTTTCTGTGAAATTGTAAATGCAGAAATGCAAGTCAGTATGCAAAAGGAGCCAGGTGGTGCGTTTTACAGTTCAAATAATATGAGAAAACTCACTTGAATGATCCGCTTTGTCAGCGGCATGTACTCCTCGTCTGATTCCACACATTCCTCATCAGGAGAATGGTGAAACAGTTAGAGGAGAGTATCAGGTGCATTCCTCAAAAAAGGAAGACCCCTGGAAGTCGAAGGCCTTGGGTCATCCACTGCCTTCTCTTCCTCAAAACTAGGGAGCAGACAATGGAAAGCTGATAAGACATGGTTAAGATCAAAGGTCAGGTTGGTGAGTGTCTACCTTGACCTGTGATGACCCTTTTATATTTTTTTATAGCCAATCATGTCACTCCAAGGGTCCTGAAAGGTCTTGGAAAAGCAAGTGATATATTTTTTAAAATGTGAAAAACACTTGATATTGTCGCATGACTTGACATGAAAATCACATGATATGGTCATGTGATATAATGTACAAATCATGTGATATTGTCACATGATATGACGTCATGGTCATGTGACATGGTTTGATGGTTATGTGATATGAAGTCACGGTCAGATGACCATGGTTTGATATGGTCACATGATATGACATCATTATCATGAGATCATATCATGCCACGGTGACATGATATGGCACAGTTACATGACATGGTGTGATATGGCCATGTGATATATTATGTGACCTGACATCATTAGCAAGAAAAAAAACACAACCTTGACATATCAAAAAATAGATAAATAAAAAAAGTGATTATAACAATCATCATCCAAAGACCTCAAAAACGGATTCTGCCATGACGACCATCCCCATCACACTCACTCACTCACTCACTCACTCACTCACTCACTCACTCACTCACTCACTCACTCACTCACTCACTCACTCACTCACTCACTCACACACACACACACACACACACACACACACACACACACACACACACACACACACACACACACACACACACACACACAAAACAGCTTCAAAAGCAGTATTATAACAGCATACAACCATGATGGGGATAGCTGTCACCAGCTTGTAGCTGCAGCAAGCCATGACGGCTATACCCAGGCCCGGCATGATGGTTCGATTTTCCATGATGGCTATAGGCATGCCTACCCATATGAAGTTAATGATTTGGAATACCTGTAGCATATTTTGAATTTTTTGATATACAATTTTGTTTTAATGTTTTTATAATATTTTTTATTAGTAGTTGTATTATCTTATTACCTTGTCATAAAAATAGATTTGGCTGAGGGGCAGGTGATGGGAGTGTCTTGTCATGGGGGAACTAATGGCTAAGGGGTAAGTGACCAATTTTGCCAGGAGCTAGGTGTACACTCATGGCGCAAAACTCTTGGATCTAACGCAGTATTTGTTTCAATTGTTTTTTTCCTCACTTTTCAGAGGTCATTCCAATAGCAATGGGGAGGATAAGCCTTACATCTGTCCAGTAGTCGGTTGCAGGAAAAGATACAAGAATGTGAATGGCATAAAATACCATGCTAAAAATGCCCATAAAAAAGATAGCAAGTGAGTGATAGACTTTTCACTAATGTGATTTTGAAAATGTGTCATTGAGTACAGAATTAATGAATATTACAATTTAGTTGAAATCTGTTTGATTTGAACTTCCATTTTTCAGATTACTGTCCTTATCAATAATAAATAATTTCTGTTTTCAGAGTTAGAAAACCATATAGATGTTACTGTGGGAAGAGTTATTGTACAAATCAGGGACTTAAAACCCACTGCTCTCATTCTCATAAGAATGAGAGTATGACAGCGGTGACAACAAATACAGGGGAGGTGTTGCAGGTACCAGCCAACCAAATCTCATCGGGAGGAAGTCCTACTGCTCAACTTTTAAATAATAACAATAGAACTTTGTCAAGCACTATGGCATCTCAACTAAGTAAGTCATCTAGTACAGAAAGCAGTATTCAGGTGAGTGGAACAATGCCTGTGACCAATATTAACAACCAAATTGCTGTCACCGGACAGATCATTAAAGGAGGATCTTCAACATCCACGAAAGGTACAACTACAATTTCAAGTATAAACTTATCTGGTCTTGTGGCGGGGGGCAGTGGAAAAATTGCTCTGAAGGCTCTTCCCAGTGGTCAGTTACTTCTTTCGCAACCTCTAGAAGGTAAATTAACTGCTTTAGTAAAATCAGATCAAAGGCAAGACTTATCTGTAGATGATGGTAAGATGAATCTTGTACAACTAAAATCTGATAACTTTCAGCAGTTGGAACTTAGCAAATTACTTCAGTTAAATTCCAAGTCATCACAGCACCAACTGGCTGTCACTACGTCCACACTATCGGTCGCCATCCCTACGAGTTCACTGAATTCCCTCAAGGGGGCTCAGAAGTCTTCATCAGTGTTAGCACGGGCACTCAAGAGCCAGCTTTCAACAAGTCAGACAGGCATCACAACAGTGCTAGGGTCCACTGATAGTCAGGCAGATGACAGTGTTTTGGGTGGACAGGGTGTAATTTTAGGAGTAACTATGGAAGAGGGCACTCTTATTGATAATGGGGATGGGACACTTTCAGAACTAGCTGTGATTGAGTAGATAATTAACAAGTTGTATGTATAAGAATAGTTACCTTAGATTATTCAAATCTGAAAAAAAAAAATGTTATGGAACCAGTAACAACACTGTACTTGCATAGTGTCACTTTTTCAGATTCATTGAGTAATATTCTTTTATTTTCAATTTTCTTGTTAAGGTAATAAAAGTTATAGTTTGAAAGTAGGAAGTAGTTGTTACATTGATTTTGTTTGTATAACTTGCATTCCTTAATTCTTATGGAACTTATGAAATTTTAAATGGAATTGAATCCCCAGCATTAGAATATTGAAGTTCAGATTTGAATAATATTAAGGGAAATCCCAATCGGTATATTTTTTACTCTGTATTAATAGAGTGTTTGGGAAAGAAACCCAACACTGATGTAGGTTTCATGTTATTTACAAGTGGATGCTATTTGTATAGTGATGGCTAACTTTGTCAGAAAAAGAGGAAATTATTATCCTTGAAGAGAAAAAAAAGTAGATTTCATGTATGCTTGTTTAATTGGTTAAGTTTGTATTAGTTCTTCTTTCTAGTCCCACATAGCTATCAAATTACAGACCTGTACTGCAATATGTTCTAAATAACTTATTAGCTTCCACATTGTAAAGAGAAAAAAAGAAGAGTAATAATAAATCATATGATACATGTACACAGAGTATATACATTTAAGGTCACACTTTATGAGTATTCTCCATTTGGAGCCTCTAAAAAAAGTACCTGGAAATTCACCTAATATCTCCATCCACATTTTGCATGTAAATAGAAATGATATTCATCAGCTGAATGTTTTATATCATAGTCCTATCTCATCTCTGTAAATATTATTATGTTATGTCCTGATAAACTATTCATACCATGTTAAGTGTCTTAGTCCTAGCAGGCATTATAAAAAGTTGGATTATATTGTAGGTCTAGGGGCAGAGGCAATGGTTTCGTAATATTCTGAGGATACCTGAATTATTGTCTAATTACTGGGTAGTGTGTGTGAAAGGGGCAAAGAGGAGCAGCAAGGAGAGGGGGAAGTGGGTGAATGGTTGTGTGAATGGGGGAATGAACAAGGGTTTACGTGAAAGAGTTTGATCAGTCAGGTTTTCTTTAAGCAGAATAGCATGATTACCAACTCTTAGGAGTGGCACAAGTTAGCTTATACCAAAGGGCATTGTTATTAAGGACACTGAATTAAAAAATCATAAAAAAATATGTACTGATTATCAAGGCATGAGGCTTTCATTCCACCCTGACTAGATTTGTGCAGGATAAGCCTATTTCAGCTGAAGGGCATAAGCAGCATTGATTAACAATTGACTTTTTGCTCATTCTCTATGGAGAGATGAAAATTGAAATGAGCAACTTGAATAGAAACTGAAGTGAGTTGCATATGTTGTATAGAAATTGAAGTATATATTACTACTGTTTCAATTGTTTGACACTGCTTATCCAGGTAAATTTTGAAAGTGGGGACCTAACATTGTTAGTGTGTACCCATATTGCTCATATTTATACAATAGATACATATGATACTCCTTATGCTTTGTGCATTTTTTGCTGTGTCCAAATACAAGGATTCCTGTTATCTTATTTCTCTCTCTGCATCAACAAGGTGGGAATTGATGGGATATTTGTATTTTAATATGACTTAAAACACTGTGAAAAAGTTAAGAAGAATAAGGTGTGTTTATGTTTGTACAGTTACCAAACTTCCTAGATAGACACACATGCATGTATGTTCATCTTCATATATTTATACACATATTTATGTGTGTATGTACATTACCATGTTAAGTTTTGCTTTTTTGTTGATACTTTTGGTTGATTATTATTACAGTAGGAACAGAAACCTTCCTAAGGACATTTTTCCCCAAATGTTAGCAATGCTAAAAAAAGAAAGATACATGCAGCATGTGGTTAAAGTTTCATCTTTATTTTCTCAGGTTTCTTTGTAATTGGAACTTATATTTGTTTACCTTTCTTCTGTGCTAAAAAATACTATCTAGGGAGAAAATGGTGACTAAATACAACTAATTGCAAAAATTTGATAGATTTTGGAATATATTTTATTGCATTGCAGAGAGCAAATAATGCAAATCTTTTTAGCTTTTTCCAGTCAAAATTTAAACATGGTGATTGTCATGTGGCAAGTATTAGGCATGTTTATTAGAAATCAATGAAGAAGAATCATGTCATATTGGTAACTTCAGTTTTGTTACCTTGAATCTTGCTATGTTTTTGTTTTTCTCTCTCTGTTCCCAGTAAGATTTTTGTCTTACCCAATGGAAGCCTTTGTATGGTTAACCTTGATAGGAAGCATATTATCCATAAGTGTCCTTCAAACAGCTGTTGTTGTATTTCACATGTATGATTCACAATCAGGTTTGAGCAAAACAAAAATTTTAAAGATTAGCCTGAATGATTGTAGATGCATCTGATTCAGGAAGTTTTAAATGATATTCAGGTGTTTTGCATGAAACTAAGGTGAGAAAAGTAATTACTGTGTAATAACATCTTTGTTTATATGTTTTTCTAGTAAACTAAATGGCTAAAATAAAAAATCAAGATGTAATTGGTTGTATTTAAGGTATTGTGGAAAATATATTGTAAAAAAAAGTGTAATTTTATTACATGGTGGGTTCTTTATTGTAAGTGTCATGGGTCACTGGTAACCATCATTTACCATAACTGTTTGATGTATTTTGGGGATTGTCAGTATCCTTTGAAGGTGGTTCATAGCAGGAGCATGAATAATATTTCAGTATTTGAGAGTATTGGAAAGTTAACATTTTTATGAGATTTTATTGATTAATAGTATTTTATTCAGGAGAATTGTTATATGTTTTATGTTATTATCATTATCCCTATGTCCTAAGTGTTAAGAAATATCATTATTATTATTATAATTATTATTATTATTATTATTATTATTATTATTATTATTATTATTATTAATATGGTTATTGTTATCATGATTATTGTAATTATATTATTATTAGTAGCAGTAGTGATGGTATTAGTAATGGCAGTAGTAATAGTGGTAGTAGAAATAGTAGTAGTAGTAATAGTAGTAGTAGTAATAGTAGTAGTAGTAATAGTAGTAGTAGTAGTAGTAGCAGTAGTAGTAGCAGTAGTAGTAGCAGTAGTAGTAGCAGTAGTAGTAGCAGTAGTAGTAGTAGTAGTAGTAGTAGTAGTAGTAGTAGTAGTAGCAGTAGCAGTAGCAGTAGTAGGAAAAGTCAAATAGCAGTTTTTGTAATTTTTATCATTGTCATGATTATAGTTATTTTGAAGAGAGGATTAATATAAAAAGAAAATGCTTCATTGTAATATGGTTGGAATGTGCTTAGAGTTTGTCATAGAATATGGTTTGTTATGCACATCAGTTGTATTGCATATTTTTTCTTAGTTGCATATTTTTCAAATCCCCCTTTTTCTATAGTGAAAAACAACACAAGTTAATCATTATATTATATGTAATAAGATGTTATAGTGAGTAGAATTGTTAAAGTTGACTGAATATTATTATATTTGAGAATGTATTTATGGATTGATTTACTGTGGTTTGTCAAAGGAAATGTATTTGTGATGTGGATTTGTTTGAAAATCTATGAAAGTAAAAGGGATTATTATTTTGTTATTAATACTTTCTTTTCTTTCTTTAGTTTTTCAGGAGAAAATGTAGTTAACTTTTATTTACCTTTCCTGAGGGGAAAACAAGAGTCCCTGGGTTATAATCCTCGGCCTTTGGTGGCAATCAGCAGTTGTCTGATGCATATTCAGCCATATTGCTTTTCTTTTATTATGGTTTGCCACATTTGGAAAACAATATTTCCTACATTTTTTTCTTTGGTGTAACTAATGCTGTTAATGCCATGTTACGTCTCTTTCCACGTGAAATTAATACCCAGCTATCACTAA